CAGCAGCAGCAGCAGCAGCAGCAGCAGCAGCAGCAGCAGCAGCAGCAGCAGCAGCAGCAGACACACCCGACCGTCCCGAAGAGCCTCCCAGGGTCTGTCGAGGCTTCCAAGAGCCTCCGTGGGGCCCCGGGGCCCCCGAGCCCTGCGAGGAAGCAGCAGCTTCTGCTGGGCGCCGCAGCAAGCGGAAGCTTGGCCTGCAGCAGAGGCAGCAGCAAAAGGGACACCTGCTGCTGCGCTGCAGCAAACAACAGCGCCACTCACCAGCTCCTGCAGCAGCTCTAGCAGCAGCAACCCCACACCCACGAACAGCAGTAGCAGCTCAGCAGCAGCAGCAGCAGCAGCAGCAGCAGCAGCAGCAGCAGCAGCAGCAAGCCAGCGAGCTGAGCACTCACTCGCAAAAGCAAGAGCGAAAATAAGCTTCTCTTTCCTCATGAGACTCTAGCGCTGCTGGGGGCCCCGCATGCAACGCGGGGGCCCCAGGGGCAGCAGCAGCAGCAGCAGCAGCAGCAGCAGCAGCAGCACTAAGAGGTGCCGTGTCGCCTTTGGAGGCCTTTGCTGCTTCAGCTTCTGCTGCGTGCTGCTGCAGCAAACTTCCTGCTTCCGCCCCGCCTCCCTCAGCCTCGCCCGCATGCTGCTCTTCTGCTGCAGCTGCTGCAGCAGCCCCCAAAGATTCGGCTGCCTGCGGCCCCCCTGGGGGCCCCCCGGGGGCCCCCAGGGGGGCCCCCCCGGGGGCCCCTAGGGGGGCCCCCCCGGGGGCCCCTAGGGGGGCCCCTAGGGGGGCCCCTAGGGGGGGCCCCTGGGGGGCCCCCGTTTGGCTTTCAAGGGGTACAGAGGGGTGGAAGGGCCTCTGGCTTTTAACTGCATACTTCATTATCTCCTGAATAGTGTAGACTTTGTTTGTGTCTTTTGCTGCTGCCTCTGCTGCTGGCGCTAGGAGAGCCGCCGCTGCTGGGCTCGCTGCTGCTGCTGCTGCTGCTGCTGCTGCTGCTGCTGCTGCTGCTGCTGCTGGTGCTTCGCCGCTTGAGCTTGCCAGAGACGCTCTGCTGCTGCTGCTGTCCACTCTGCTGCTGGTCTTCCTTGCATGCAGCTGTTTCCCGCGCTGCTGCTCCCCCGGCACCTCCCCCCGCTGTTGGTGTGCCCCGTGCTGCTGCTGCTGCTGCTGCTGCTGCTGCTGCTGCATCACTTCTTGCTGCTGCTGCGCCTCCTGCCGTTGCTGCTGCCTGTCCGTGCCTCCTGCTGCCTCCGACGATTCACCTGTATTTGCTGCAGCGGCCTTGGCGGCCGTCTGCTGCTGCGGCGGCTCCTGCTGCTCTTCGTGCTGCCGGTGCTGCTGTCCCTGAGCTTTCCTCTGCAGCTGGCGCTGCTGCTGCTGCTGCTGCTGCTTGCCGTTCGCCGCCAATGGACCAGTGGTCACATCGTGGTCCTCCTCCGCCCGCTTGTCACTGTTGGGCTCTTGAGCTGCTGCAGGCACTTCGCCGGAAGCAGCAAGAACCTCAGAGGCTCCTGGCAGCTGCGTTGCCTTTGAAGCTGCATGTCTTGAGCCCCCTGCAGCAGCAGCAGCTGCAGCAGCAGCAGCTGCTGCAGCTGCAGCCTCCGCCCCGTTCTGGACGTCCGCCGACGCCCATGCGCAGGAGGCCCTCCCTGCTGCTGCTGCTGCTGCTGCTGCTGCGGGTGCGGTTGAGGCCGTGGAGGACTCCGCCTCTGCGGGCTCCGGAGAAGCAGCTTGCTGCTGCAGAGCCTCGGGACAGCCGCAGCTGGGCTCCATTTTGCTGCTGCAGCTGCTGCTGCGAGATGAACGTGTCTCTACACCCCGCCTGCTGTGCTGCTTTCTGGTCTACATTATTGAACAGTGCGAGCCAGCTGCGGCGCTGCAAAGGCGGCTCAAATGCCTCCACTTCGCGGGCAAAGCCAGACTTGAACAGGCCACCTGTGAGCGCGCGGCGGAGCCGCAAGAACCAACTCCCGGCCAAGTACACACCTTTTTCTGCTTGTCTCCACACCAAAAAGCCCCCAAGCAGTAACGCGGAACAAGTCTTCAAGAGGAAAGCTGCGCGAAAGAGGCGCTGCTGCGCCGGCTGGGTGCCTTGGGTGGCTCGCATGCGGGGTGGCGGGCTTGGGTCGCTGCTGCAACTTCGCCGAAATACTCCATTATGCGCAAAATCGATTGAATTTCCGCATTTGTTTCAAATAAGACAAGTAAAGTTCTTTTCGATCACTGCGTAGGGCACGAAACAGAGGCCAGCAGCTCCAATTTGCTAGTCGTTTCAGTGCGCTGGGCACTGAACTGGGAAGCGAGGGCGCGAAAATATAGCTTAGTCCATCTTCCCTGAATTGGCAGGATTTTTGCCCGTTTTACCTGCTATTTTTGATGAGTTAAATCACTGAATAACTCCGACTTCATGGTGTAGGGGCCTGATGTGTCTGATGTGCTGCCCGGACATAGTTGGAGTTTTGTACTTCAGTGCCCCGGCCGCCAGAACGTAGAAAGATGAGGCGTTAAGGGCCAAAATCCCTGATAGTCTTTTGCATGTGCATTTATAGAACACTTTTAACATTCTAAAGAATAAAACGAGTGCTAAGTGGCCTGCGGACTGCGGCTCTCGAGGGAACCTCTGAACTAGAGCTGCGATGAAGCAGTGATTATCTTACCTTAAAAGCCGGGCTAAAGAGGTAGTCTGCAGGGACTTCCCTCATTCATTTTCTCATTCCTTGTTCACGGAATTCAAAGAGAGATTCTTGTCAGACTAATTCCGGCCACGGAAGTTCGCGCATGAAGAAGTACTTCATGCGCCCTATTCAACTTCCGCTGCGGAGAAGTTTGCCTAGTTACTTGCTACCGCACGATTGCGCAGGCGTTTGTATTTATTGTTAACGCATCCAACAACAGTTCGCACTTATTCTCAGGAGAGCCGTGAAACATGAATATTGTGTCACTATTGGTTCACTGGGACTGCAAGTGTGCTGGGAAGCACTGCAATCAAGCGCCAGTCCTGCTTTGGGACGCAAAAAAGAGCAAATTTAAATATGGGAAAGGACAATTTGGTGAGAAAATAAGGAACTCTTCAGGATTCCAGGCCATACATGCTCCACTGCAAAGCTCGCATTTGGAGCTAACAGTAGTCTGTGCACACAGCAGGCACAGACGCACAGAACGGAACTCACTGCTTGTTGGTTGAGTAGCAGAGCCCCTTGCCTTGTCAGCCAAAGTGTCGCGTTTTTGCTTAATAAGATGGAACCACCGAAGATCTTGCAGCTGCACCTTAATTAGCCGGTGCAGCAATACATGTAGGAGCCAAGCAGGGCGAACCTTCGTGCAACAGCGCGAAGCTGAGTTCAGGGCTTCGCTCACTACACCCGTGGAGGTTTTGGAAGTGCTCAACAAGCACAGATTGAAACTTCGGGCAGAATTACATTCAGGGATTGGGCCAGGCAAGCTCGTGCACCGGCTTTAAAGCGAGTTCTAACACGGGGAACCAGTCAAGAGACTTAGGAACAGTGTAAACTGCTTTTGATCCTAGCACAAAAAGGCCTGAAGAAGGTCCCAGGGGTCAAACTAATATCGAAAGATGCGCTGCTAAGCCCAGGGGTTGAGGCTGGAAAGAGGCAATAAAGCTGCAATGCAAAGAACGCCCACGTCGTGAGCAAGGAATACTACGGGAAGACAAGGGAACTTCGAGGAAAGAGCACACGCAGTGATGCTGATTAGGTTTTCCAATGTTTAACAGTGCCTTAAGTTAGTAGTGACAGGTGCGAGCTTGCCTAGCTAGCAGGAGCTGGGCTGAGATTGCGTTATTACAATTGTAGTTGCAGCCGTTTGCTGTTTGTCTTATGCGTCTGCTGCAGCGCATCTTGCTGCAGGTGTGATTCAGGGAATCGCCTCGTGCATGTGGACTGCTAGTACGAAAGCTGCTTGCCGTGAATTTCGCGTTTTCTTCTCGGGCTGTTGCCAGCTGCTCCAGCCTCAGTCCAGTCTTCTACTCTAGAAATACACTTCCTGCCACAAAACATGACATATCCGCTCCCCTTGGTTGCTTGTATACAGCAGAAATGTTTGTGTTACGATCTGCTTTGTTGTAGCTTCTACTTGTTTGGCGTTTGGCTTCTTTCCGCTGCATTCCAAACTCAAACTTGGAAGGATTTTTGTGGCGCTTTTTTCACGCCTTTGGCATCATTCGGCACAATTCTAATGCTCGCAATGCCTTATAACTTCACCGAGTTGTACAACAGCATCTCTTATCATTCTCGTGGGCATTTATTTCACCTTAATGTACCTAAATTCGTTTCCTTTTCGCTGTCTTTAGGCTAGTTTAACTCCAATTCTAATTTAAAATAGTTCGATCTCCTGTTGCTTTTCTCCTGATCATTGCTGGTTGTTAGCTCTAGCCATCCTAGTACGCCTCCCTTTCTCCCTGTATATCCGTACTTGTGTATTCAATAACTGCACATTTATTTTCCCTTCATTGTTTATACCATCAATGGTTTGTTTTTGGACAGACATCATCGCATTCATCCACTGTAATGTTTTTACTCGATGCAATGTTCCTTCTTGACCTCGTTAACACAAAATAAATCTTTTTTCTCTCGTTTATTCCTTTTCCTGAGTTATTTTCTCATTTACTGTTGTCTGTTCCTTTATTCATCAAAACGTTTGTCGTTACTTTTTTATGTTTTGACGTCCGTATCTTCGTTTTTTCAAAAATTGAAGCTGCTTCTCCTCCCTGTCGTTATTCTGCTTCATTAGCTTCATGCACTTCAGGACTTCTAGTGTTATTTTTGGTAGTACAGCTATCAGTAGCAGTTTTTGCTACTTCTAGTACATTGCCACATCTTATATTATCTTTCTCACATGAAGAATGCGCTACTTGTGTGGTTTACTTTCTAAGCAGGGCGCGCCTGCATGGAAGATGTGCGCAGCTAGGCATTCACAAGGTGGCGTGAACTTGCACTTTCCCGATCACGCTGCTTCCTCCTTTCGCGCAGCTGCCACTCGAGTTTGGCCGCTGGGTGAAATTTAAAGCTCTGTCATACTAATGATTGGTAGACTGCAACAAAGGCGGCGCACAGAGCAGTGGGAGACGGGAAATACTTCTGCCTGCGAAGTCTCTCGTAGAAGGAGAGTGTCGGAAAAAATGACGGGAAAACTAGGCTTAGGAAGCGGCAGATAACCGCTGGGTGCGGCAGCTTCATGCTCATAGTGAGGCAGGGCAGTTGGTGAGATGTTCAGCACCTTCCCAGGGATGCCCCGGCATTCCCCTAGGTGCTGTATGTCGTTGCCTGTGCGCCTTTTATTCAAATTGCACTCAGACTTCCCCTGGTGAATCGAATTTCCGGCTGCATCTGGCGCAGGAAGCTAATTGGCAGCGGCTTCTTTGGTAGCCGTGTTACTGTCACGGGGACGATGTGGCACAAACGCGAAAACATGAGAAACCTCATGGTTAGATTTTGCCGGTGGCAGTTCCAAAGAGTATGCCACAATGTTGATGCGCTCTTTGATAGTGAAGGGACCACGGTGACGACGCTCAAACTCTTAGCATGTAGTCATAGCGGGTAAGTGCTTGCTGCTGAGCCACATCCTTTTCTCTGTAGCATACTGGCTGGCTAACTCAACAGAGAATTTGAACGAGAGTAGGTAGCAGTAAACGTGTACGCAGCTCATGAAGAAAATGAGTAATCGGATAGCACGTGGTGCTGGTTG